GGGGGTCCAGGGGGGTCGGGGGGCGCTGCGGGGCTTTGCCTTCGCCCGGAGGGAACAAAGGAAAAGCGGGATGGGATCCCGAGAGCCGCGCCTGGAATTCCCGGGAAATAAACGCTGTGTCCGTGCCTCCTTTCCCTGAGCCTGTGTGGGCTGCGGCCCCCCCAGAGCCCCCCAAATCCCGGGGGGGGACCCCCCACATCCCCCGTGATCCTCCCACCACGGGAGGAGCGGGAGGAAACGCTGGAAAAGCCAAAATCTCCAGGGAGGGGCTGGAGCTGCCCCGCCCCCCCCCGGGGGAAGGCTGGGAATGAGGGGGGGTCTGCACTGAGGAATCCTTTGGGATTGAGGGGGGGTCTGCACTGAGGAATCCTTTGGGAATGAGGGGGGGTCTGCACTGAGGAATCCTTTGGGAATGAGGGGGGGTCTGCACTGAGGAATCCTTTGGGAATGAGGGGGGGGGTCTGGAGCAGCCCTGGACCCCTGGAAACCCAAGGAATCCCAGATTCCCTCCCCATTTTTCCCCCTGGCACCCCAATTCCCATTTTCCCCCCAGGACCCAAATTCCCATTTTCCCCCCAGGACCCCAATTCCCATTTTTCCCTCCCACACCCCAATTCCCATTTTCTCCCCCGGCACCCCAAATTCCCATTTTTCCCTCTGAAATCCCAGATTTCCCCCATTTTTCCCCCCGGCACCCCAAATTCCCATTTTTCCCTCTGAAATCCCAGATTTCCCCCATTTTTCCCCCCGGCACCCCAAATTCCCCCCGTTTCCCGGCCGTACCTCCTCATCCTTGTACCAGGAGAGCGACTCGGCCGTGAGCACGAACCAGTACTCCTTGGAGCCGCCCTTCATGATGCTGATGTTGTTGATGGTGAGCCAGCCCCGGCGGATCACCTGCGGCACGCCGGCGAGGCGGGGCGGTCACAGCGGATCCCGCAGCGATCCCACAGCGGGATCCCACTGTGATCCCAGAGCGATCCCGCAGTGATCCCAGAGTGATCCCGCAGTGATCCCAGAGTGATCCCGCAGTGATCCCAGAGTGATCCCGCAGTGATCCCAGAGTGATCCCGCAGTGATCCCACAGCAGGATCCCACTGCAGGATCCCACAGTGATCCCAGAGCGATCCCACAGTGATCCCAAAGCGGGATCCCACAGTGATCCCACAGTGATCCCAAAGCAAGATCCCACTGCGGGATCCCACAGTGATCCCAGAGTGATCCCAGAGTGATCCCAGAGTGATCCCAGAGTGATCCCACAGTGATCCCAAAGCAAGATCCCACAGTGATCCCAGAGCGATCCCACAGCAGGATCCCACAGTAATCCCAGAGCGATCCCGCAGTGATCCCAAAGCGGGATCCCACAGCGGGATCCCACAGTGATCCCACAGTGATCCCAGAGTGATCCCCCAGTGATCCCAAAGCAGGATCCCAGAGCGATCCCAGTGATCCCACAGCAGGATCCCACAGTGATCCCAGAGTGATCCCGCAGTGATCCCACAGCAGGATCCCACAGTGATCCCA